TATCATACTAGATACATTTGAAAGTTCTGTTATAATGCTACTCTGTGCGGTCGTCACCGGTCTATTAAAACGCACAACATATTAAAGCGTCTTTGGTGAAATCGAGGGGTTATGACGTCATTGGCAGGTGACACAATAACACTATGGACACGGACCGTGTCACTAGTTAAAATTGCTTAATTCTCTGGATTTAAACAGTCTTCGAAACATTTGGGATAATGTAAGTATACAAGTCAGCAAAATATATAACACTGTTCTAGTGGTTTTTGGATATTTTAATAAAAAAAATCTTACATATTGTGCCTTTAAAGTCATCCAGACACTCTGCATCCTTGTTCCCATCATATACTTCACCAGCTCACGCAAAGACAGACGGCGCGTCCGAAATCACTTACTGTCTGAGTAGGTATTGCATTTGAATTTGAATTTACTTAACAAACAAAAAACGTAAAAAAAACAAAAAAAAAAACTACATTCTATATAGTATGCATGTGGGTATGAAATTCGGACTTACTACATCCGCCATGTTGTTACTGTCACATGACCTACCTGCGTCAGTTGCGTTGCTTCACTAGCTATGTTTCCATCCACCTATTTTTATGCGCATTTTGGATTATCGTATAAAAACCGATGGATGGAAACGGCAAGATATGTGCATAAATTCTAAAAATATGCATAAAAAACGTATGCGCACAACTGAGTAGGATAAACTTTTTATCCGATAAGAAAAAATGCGCAAAAACTACGATGGAAACACATTTACCGAATAAATTCCACCATGCAAATTGAAAAACCTTGCGCTATGAGACGGGATAAATTGACTAACCAGTGGACAGATCTCGTTCACAGCATCTATAGCTATGTTGTTCTGGTCGTTCTGAAATGCCTGAGGAAAGTCTGTCATCAAAGTATTTCTGTATAATTACTGTCTTACACGACTGCGTTCCCAAACAGCAAGCATCCACCTCTAAAAGCAATGACCGCATTTATTGTGTTACGTCTGCTCTCTCTGAAGCGCAAGTAATTTATGAAATTATTATATTCAGTGGCTTCTCCTAGTTTTCTTAGAGATATTTAGTGCCAGTTTATCAGGAAGTGACGATTTTGTTCTCTTTGACTCGTTGAATGGAAACGGTGCTTTATTCGCAAATGTTTTATGCGATATTCCAGTTTTGCGCATAAGTTAAATTCGCATCTTTGAATGGAAACATAGCTACTGCCATTCATAAATCCTCTTCCGTGGCCTCATGGGAAAGTAATTGTTCATCGAATGCACACTTCAGAATCCGGGCGGAAGAAGTAGGTTATACGGGTACTTTTCGCCTACCGTTTTTTCGAATACTATGAATTTGGACATACAATATATACAAAAATAATTAGCTAAACTGATTTAAACTAACCAACTCAATGTAAATAATATGCTTTAGCCATTTGTCTATGTTTTAGTGACCTTTACACCGTGTCCTAACTACACGCAACGCAACACGCTTCTGAATGGCTGATATTTGAGTGATTCTGTCACGTCGCGTCTGTTGTGGACAGCCAAATTGCTTGTCTCTGGAATCTTGTCGCATCGTGTGAAGTTAGGACACAGTGTTAGAGCTCCTCACTGTCACCCTTCATAAAATGACAAAACATGTGACTTTGCTCATACAAAGGTCAAACACAAACCATTACAGACCTTCAAGTGTTGTGTTTTAACAGCAGTAATTACTATAACACGACTCCTTCAGTCCTGCTTGTTTAAGGTGAGTCAGACGTCCTCAAGCGTCTCTCAAACCGACCAATGATTTATTCAAGAACATGTGGTTTAAACTCAGACTTTAATCCTGAAGTGATTCCTCAAATAAACACGTCTGACACAAGCATTTATGAAAAACGTTCATGGTCTGTTATTGGTCTGCCAGTCTGGTTATTCAGTAATATTAATTCATGAACATTTAACAAATCATTTCTTGAACTGAAAGGGTTGGCATCCTTGTGGGAACGTCGCCGCTGCTTGTATCACAACAAGCGCAGATGCTACCCGTGTGCCACAGTTTTGCTGCTCTTTATTTATTTATCTGCATGTTTTGTGCTCAACAGTGAATAAATATTCCACTTAGATTTACAGTGTTCGGTGAATAATGACCTCAGTCCGTTCTTCACACAAAGCTAGTGTTTGACTTCATTAGAGCCAAATGGAATATTTTACAGTGCTGTTGCATCTTCAAAAGCTTTTTAAGCTCATTATTTATATTTAAAAACGTGTTCTGTGAGGGTTAGGTTACAGAATTTAGATTTATCTGTATAAAACAATAAAACCCTGTTGAATGTCCCCATTTAGTTATAAGCGAAGTAAATGTGCGTATGGGGAGCTATAGGGCTGTGAATGAACTCTAAAATATTAATAAGTGCATTTTCTCTGTCGACAGAATTATTTTCTCATTCGACCCTATAACTGCACTGCATTAATCTTAATAACTCAAACACACATACATTTTCATATAGCAGTATTTTCCCATGACTTTGGTTGTTTTGCTCTAAATCGAACTCTCATGCACACCTTTCGGCATTTTTGCATGACTAGTATTTTTATTAAGCCATTTTAACATTGTTAAATTTGAGTTCTGAAGATAAGTTCTGGAGGAGCATGTTTAGCAAAATAGGCACAATGCCATCCTCAGCACTGTACACTGTCTGGCCAAATCAAATCAGATCTGTTTATTCCAGTTGGCAGAGCAATCTGAACACTTTTTTTTTTTGATCTGACAATTAAATCGTCCAACTCTTAGAGATTTCCTCCTGATTTGTCTGGTGAAAAAATCCCCAGTATTCTGAGATTACTCTGTTCTCTGCAGTTCATTCATAAAACAACACTAGAATTTCATGAATTTGCAAGTTTGAAATACTTCCAAAATGCAAGTTTAGTTTGATCTTTTCTCCATTTAAATTTAAGGGTCCAGTGACGTTCAGGGTCAGAGAAGAGAAACCAAAATGTGTCCAAACATGCCTTACATTAGGACTACATGGTCCTTTAACGAGTGACCTTCAGCAACTTGTTTTCCATTTCTTAAACGTTATGTTTAGTTTGCCTTTAAAAATATCATGTTAAATATATTTGAGAAGCAACATTGTGTAAGATAATAAGAATTAGAATATGTCTTGGAATATAGAATATATCTTATTTTTTGTAAACAAAAATAAATAAATAAATAAATAATCACACACACACACACACACACATATATATATATATATTGCTTGTTTGATTGATTCCTGTAAATTTGAAGACAAAAAATATAAAATATCAATAATTGATTCTGTTTTTGTCCCAAGTGTTTAATCTGTCGGGAGTAAAAGGATTTCTGGAGATGAAGCAGCAGTCAGGAGTGGAGAGCATCACCCAACATAAAGCCAACAACACTGCAATCTAACATTTTTAAAATAAACATTAAGATATCTTTGGTGTAAATTATATAATGATTGTTAAACATCACAAAGACGATTTTATATATTATGCTATGGTTGAATGTATTATTTGTTATTCACAAATTCACTGAACTGATTGAAATCTGGAGAGGAGTCGTTCAGCCAGCACTGCACCAGGTTAAAGCATATCGATTAAACCCACTGCCTGTAACTAATGAAAGAATCACATTGCTGCATGGTTTTGATACTTTTGTTTGGTTAAAAGGTGAAATATCATGAAAATCGGACTTTTTCACTTTTTTTTAAGTGCTATAATCAGTCCCCCGGTGCATCTATCTACCAACCCAGGAAACGTGATAAAGAACAACCCAGTAAATTTTTTTGGTAAGCTTTTCTCTGCAAGCATCTGAAAAAAAATCACTGCCCCTCAATCTGCACGTTTCCACCCACGGCGCCGCCATTGTGTTTTCGCAAGTGACAACAGTGTACCAGTTCTAACGCCATGGCGAAAGTTCGAGCAAAGCATGCTAACTGTTCTGTCTTTGGCTGCACAGATGAGCACAGAACACTATTTAGAGTCCACAAGCCACATCATCAGGCAGTGAAAAATACATCACGGAGCAATGAAGACACATGCCGACAGACAAGACAAAGCAGGTATGAAACAAAGTCTCATTTTTAAAATATTGTCATTTTTTTAAGAAATTCAAACAATAATTACCGTATTTTGTTGTGACAGATTGCTGTAGCGCCTTAGTTCAAGCGTGAATGAACATCAGAAAGTATGTTGTCCCAACTGCGCAAAGACGTCAATACCCCATTCTCAAGTTCAACTCTATTGCCGTTAATCGACTAACTCTCCTGTCTGGTTTGTTTGTCAGACAAAATGGCGGATTCGGCATTATGATTGGTCAGATCGCCTGTCAATCAAACTCCTGGAGAAGACTCGATTCAGAAAACAAGATTTTAAAATAGGAATCCATGAACTACATGATTAAACACATCATGAATAATCGTGCATGAACATGTTCAAGTTTTATTATGGAATTACACCAGCATATTTTGGTGAAAAGCATTATTATTATCAAGAACAATTTATTTAGAATATGCAAAAGATAATGTTACATTTCCTGTAATAAAGACATAGTTGTTGTACTATATTTATAAAGTGCATCCATATCTGAGAAGGCTGTTCTTGATCTCAGTGATGCCGATGTATCGCTCCCTGTGTTCTGGAGTTGGGCTTTCCTCTCTTGTAGGCCAGTATTCAACCCAGGTCTGCTCTCCAAAAACATACTGCAGACTAAAACAACAGAAAACACACTATGCAAAACATATGAATCAATTTTTGTATATATAATCATTAAAAACAAACATCATGCTAACAGACAATGAGCTGACGTTTTACCCAAGATTGATTTGGTTTACATCAGTCTAAGAAATGACTCATACAGCAATTCTATGTGAATGTCACACTATATGAGGAAAATTAGTGCTCTAGATAATATCACACATTTTTTTTATATGATGTTATGTTGCATCCTAAATTTACTGGGTTGTGGGTCCTTCTGTGCAAAAGAAGAATACTGTAGGTCAGGAAGTACTGATACCTACCTTCCACCCAGCTCTGGCAAGTCAACAGATTTGCCCATGATGAGGTATGACTTGCCTTTTACCAATCCTAAATGTCCTCTGCAACCGGGACGAGCCATGAATAGTCTCACTTTCCCCTCAACTTCCTCATCAGTGCCTATAGGACAGAACAGGAGACAATTTTATCAAAATGTCCCAAATGTCAGCAACATTTCAAGAGAGCTATAAAAACACGCAATTAATTTTACTTAAGCCCAAAATAAACTTCGGTTTTTAATAGGGATGCTCCGATCAGGATTTTTGCAGCCGATACTGAGTACCGATTTCTTGTCATGGTGATCGGCCGATACCGATGCCGATTCTGATGCTTCAAGCTTTATATAGATGTTTCATCGGGCGCACGCACCTGGCGCGAAGTTAACTTCCGGTCTGTGTTTGTTTATCAGTCTGGCTTTGGCGCCGGCTACAAACGCTGTTAAAGTTAAGGTGATGAGTAGACTGAAGTTGGACTCAGGTGGTTGTGCTGTGGGATGTGTTTCCCATACATTTATTTATTTGTGGCGCTCACCACAATATCAAAACTGACCGATTTTCCAAATTCAATACCACGACTGAGGCGCCCTTGAGCAAGCGAACCCCCAACTGCTCCCCGGGCGCCGCAGCAAAAAAATGGCTGCCCACTGCTCCGGGTGTGTGTTCACTGCTGTGTGTGTGCACTTTGGATGGGATAAATGCAGAGCACTAATTCCAAGTATGGGTCACCATACTTGGCCACATGTCATGTCATTTCACTTCATAAAGCAGCTTTTGTGAGCGCAGCGCTGCTTTGTGTACACAGACGTTACTGGGGAAACCTCTGTTTTTCCTGCTTTAAAGCACCTCCAGCTGGCAGAGAATGAATTCTGAAGTAAGTCCGTCTGATTTACGCAGCAAACGGGTTGGGTAATAAAAAATGCATTCTGATTATTTGCGGGTGGGTCGCAGGTGGATAAAATAAATCATAAATGATGCAAATATTAACACATTTTTTTTCATGAGGCAGACGATTTCGTGTGTGTGTGTGTGTGTGTGTTCGTTTTATCGGCCGATACCGATCTCCGGCCGATCGATCAGAGCATCCCTAGTTTTTAAGCGTCCGCGAGGGTCAGCGTGACGCAATTTTTGTAATGTGATACTTTGTACGTGCAGGTCACACATGCACATTGACTTGGTTTTGCACTAATCACCCAGACAGCACACTTACGTCTGCAAGATGTCTGTTAAAGATCGCTTGATCTGGAAAGCATCTGCTGTGTACAAACCTCTGATAGTCGTCTATAAGATGTCAGTTTTAGATACATCCTAAATCATAAAGACGTCTAATAAACGTCTATTTGACATCTGATAGGAAACGTCCTACAGACGTATTGCAGATGAGCAAACACTCTAAAAAATACATCTTGCAGCAGATGTAAATGCAGACGTCAAATAGACGTCTCCATGATGTAATTGTGCTATCAGGGCAGTTGTTCCACAAGGTGGCAGCACTGGCCCGGGCCGTTGTTACACATTAGAAAACGAAACTAAGAGACGAACGTCAGCAACAAAATAGCGGCGACTGAAAGCAAGAACAGACACCCCCATTGAGAAGTGCTTGTGTGAGGGGGTTATGACACAACTTTAGTTTAAAAGAGTACAAAGACATTTTTATCGGTCATAACTTGTGTAGAAAATAGAGCTGACGCTGGGCTAAGATGAAGCTTTCTAGAGCGCATGTGTCAACCACCTGCATTCACGTACGCTATTAAAGGCACAATATGTAAGATTTTCAAAATAAAATATCCAAAAACAACTTGCACGGTGTTATATATTTCATGCAGTTGCGTACTTATGTTATCCCAAAAGTTCCCAAGGATTTATAAATTCCAATTTTAAATAATGGCTCCGCGCTATTGGTTTCCGCTTTTAGAAACTATGGCAATTCATGTGAACAAAAATGCTGTTGTACAGTTAAACTAAATCCATTACGGCTGTCACGAATAAAATGAAAATGAAATGAAAAGTGTTGAATGCAGCATTAGATTTACATCTGCTCAATGTTGCACCATGATTCTTTTTCCGCGTTTTTACAGTGCTGCATATTATAACCAATCACATACGATTCTGTTGAGCTTATGAATGCATTGGCCAATCAGAGGCGTTCAGATGAGTCATCGCTGAAACAACTGAATTCTGCTCTCACGTAAATTCTCTCATCATAAGCAAGAAAGTGCAGATGTATGTACAGTTGAGGTCAAAAGTTTACATACACCTTGCAGAACCTGCAAAATGTTAATTATTTTACCAAAATACGAGGGATCATACAAAATGCATGATATTTTTTATTTAGTACTGACCTGAATAAGATATTTCACATAAAAGACGTTTACATATATATTCCACAAAATAAAATAATAGTAAAAATAATAAGTGCCCGCTGTATACTTAAGATGGACACAAATTAATAATAAACTGTACCTTCTTTCAGCACCAGCTCCAACTTCATGTCATAGATGTCAGAGTCCTGTTTCAGATCCATTCCCACCACTGTGACTTTATAAACTGTCAAACAGTCGTGTTATATTGGTGTTATATCAGAGCTGTGAGACTGGATCTCAATGGCTGAGGAAGGAGAACGTGTGTTTACCATAATCCATGCCAGCTTCACAGGCTTTATTCAAACGCTCCTCATCTCTGACCCGATACTTCCTCTGGTAACTGCAGTTTTCTGTTATGAGATGTTGATTTTTAAATATATATATAT